GGGGTGCTTAAAGTTGAGCACATGACTATGTGCTGTGGATGGATCAGGGAAGAGTGCTGAATACATCGCAGGACTGAGCCCAATGCAAATTAACAACTTTTCCACGCTAGGGGTCTGCTCCTGTTGAAACCCGTGGCAAAATACACCCTTTGATGTCCGTATTGCAGCGTCAGGCTATCGGTGCAGAAAGAAACTACTCTTAAAAAGGATATTTTGCAAATGGGAGGGGAAGGAAATTATCCTCCCTTTGGAATCTGTACCCTTTATAGTCCTGTTGGGGAAGCAACAGAAGAGGTGTCCAGTTTGTGGGAAAACTAGGTGCCTTCCTCTTGCATGACTGTAAACGGTCTAGACGTAACTGCTGGGGTTTTACTACTTGTGATAGAAAAATATTTCCTCGTAAGTAGCACAGGTGAGAGAATTGCAAACCTCAGCTGCGTGGTTCTAGCATCACAGCCACAAATGGAAACCGTGCAGCCTGATGAACCCTAGTGGTGTGTCTCAGCGCACCACACGCAAACACATCGGTCATGTGGGTTGGCCACACTTGGAGTGGCAAAGCCAAGACGAGAACCAGGGCTCCTGACTCCTAGTGCCCTGCTCTGACTGGTAAAGAATAACCCCGCTTACATTTTATGCAAGGGTGAAACTGACACAATCCTGAGTTTTCAGGGCTTCCCCTAGAAGGGCAGCAAAGTGAAATGTAAAGGAATTGAGTCAGGTTCACTTTGGAGCTGCGGTCCCGTAGCAAGTAGCAAGAGGACCCGGGATGTGGATCCAGCCGAGTAGGAAAGGGAAAGGCCAACAAAAGCTTCTCCGCTGGTGTCCTTACTTTACTCCTGTTGATGATCAACCGTATTGGTCCCAGAACTGCACTAAGTAATTCCACGTGTGTATTACTCTGACTGTGGAACATGTTGGGGTGGAGGATCACATCCGGCCTCCTAAATGGATAAGGTGGGGTTTAACAGCAACAGAGCAGCCCAGGTATGCTTGCCAGCTGATCATATTCACTCCTCCCCCCCCCCCCCCCACGTCATTTTTGTCTCCTTTTTCCTCCCCTTCTTCTCAGAAGTTAGCATGGTGCCTCGAAAGTCTGCTTCACTCAGTGTCCTGGCTGGCACTAGTTGTAATCCTGTTCGACTTGCAGACAGTGGGTGTCGCAGAGGAATCCACATACTAAACCTCTATCTGATTTTGCAGTACAAGGGCAATGCTCAAAACATCCCAGAAGTAGTGTGGTTTAAACTGCAAGCTTTGGAAAATAAATTGTTCATCACGGGGGTTAATTGTGTGTCTTTCCAGGGCTGGAAAAGAAATCCAGGGTTGTGACTCAGGACGAGACTTCGGAAGGAAGAAACCCTGAATATCTTCAAAGTGCCTTTGTGCATTTATCTAGGAGTGTTCAGCGCCAGAACCGGTACGTAGACCTATTTCTCGTGGAACACGGGCAATTCTGTGCAGGCTTCGCCCCAGGAATTCCGACTCTAGACCCTTGTTTGTGATTTTTCATAAGGAATCGTAATCACTGAATGGAGAGAGGAGGCTCATTGAAGTTTTAGACCCAGGCACTAACTTTCCACAGTTAACTTTCCACACTTGCCCTGGCACTCGGTGCCTTCTGTGGTGGAGTAGGAGGTGCTCAGCACCTCTGAAAAGCGATTAACGTTCAGAACCCTGGGCTGAGCAGAATTTTAGAGCTTCTGTTGTGCTCACTGAAGTGGGTGTGCTGAGGTCTGACACCAGGTGTGTCTATAATATATGTGAGGGGTGTGTGTAGATGTAAATACATAAAATGTAGCAGTGAGGATATAGATGAAACATGTATGTGCAGTACACAGTGAAGCGGGAGATCTATAACGTTGAGACATGTATGTGCACGTGTGTAATATATCATCTGTGTGTACGTGTGTGTAAAGTATTTCTGTGCATGCACACATGTACTCTCTGTACCTGGAGCCATTTCATAGCTACCAGATTCAGCCTCCTAGGGAAATGCTTCTGGCCAAGATGATAAAAGCCAGCTCCTGCTTTTCTCTGACTTCTGTCTATATTAATTCTTTGTGACCCAGTATTTGCCTTTGTCTGCAAATGGGAGCAGTCACACGCCTTTGCGTTAACACATTTGACAGCGCATAGTTTCAGTCTGCAAATCTGACAGCTGCTTTTGAAATGCACCAGATCCTCGCCTTCTGCATGGGGGCCTGGCGTTCGCCCTGTGTCTCCCCGTGACGCTGCAGAAGCCCCCCGCGGTGTGCGCGTGTTGCAGCTGTGCGCTCTGTTGAGACGGTTATGAATCGAATGTACTGAGGGATCCTGGTTACGTCATGTCATTTAGGTGAAATTGGTTGTGGCCTGACCCAGTGGCCTAGTGTTAGTGATCCGTACGGCTGTGCAGAGGACTTGGGGTGGATTTTTTTTTTTCTTTCCAGTCCCCAGGCTTTTGCTTCCCAGGCCAGCACAAGCTGAGAGTGTGCAGGGAAGGAGCAGTTTGTGTTGTACATCAGTGATCTCTGTCTGGGCAGAATTTCTCCCTGGTGTGCTTAGATGCCTTGCAGTCTTCCGTGAAGACAGCAGAGCTGACACGCTAAATAGACAACATAGTAATGAAAAGAGTAAGGTAAAATTGGAGCAAGGAAAACGGGGGGAGATCCTCGGAGCTGCCCAGGAATGAGAGGGTAGTGAATAGGCCCTCGGGGCATTTTGGTTTCTAATATGCTCATGTCATAAAAAGACGATGCACTTATTTGCATGTAATGCGATGCTTTGCATGCGCTCTCAAGGTGCCATCCTGGCTGTTTATGTGGTTCACTCTGCATGCCACTGGTACACAGTCATTGCTCGGGGGAGATGAGCACTTTATTCCAATCGAATTGGCATTGTTTAAACTTGCTGGAAAGTAGCGCTCCCAAGACAGGCTGCCTGCCAGCCCGGATCGTTACCTTGACCAGAATGGGTTCGGTCCCCGGCTCTCAGCCCGTTTTTCTCTTGATACGTTATCTCTGGTTGAGAGTCCAACCCTTCCCTGTAAAGTCACTGACCCATTAGTCCCATGCTGCAGGCCAAGTGGCTGTAAATCATATCCTGCCAGTCCCTGTGTAAATCAGACGGGCATGTTAACAGCTTGCGTTCCTTCGGGGTGCGTTCCCTTAGCCCCCCACTCGCTGCAGCCTGCGTTCCTCTCGTGGTTGGTAGAGCAGGTGGGTGATTTCTCTCTCGAGCTGACACAGCTAATATTTCTTCTCCCGGCAGACGCGATGGCACTTGGTGCTCGTTAAATGTGGCTGGCCCTTTTCCCTATTTGTGCTCTGAGTCCTGATCCACAGAGGGTCGGTGTGCTCCTGTAACAGCTTTTCTAACACCCGCCTCTCTGCTCTCTCTGTGCTGGGCGCTCTGAGGCTTCTGCTGCCCATTTTTTGTGTTTCCTAGTGTCTTGTTCTGCCTTCCTTGGGCAGGTGGTTTTACAGAATCTATCCAGGCACTGATGTGGCCTTTATCACCACAACGGCAGAGCGCCTGCTCCCACTGATTCCAGGGGATTAGCCCTTGAATGGGATAGAACAGTCTACCCTGGTGCATTAGGAGTGCGCCTGGCTTCCATGCCAAAGGCAAGTGCAGCTGGCACCTCTGAGTGCCGTCATTGGGTTTTAAAAAAGTAAGTCAATGGCCACCTCCCAGGAAAGACCTAAACCAGCAACCCGTCCGAGCTAACACAACATGCTGTGCTCTTGTGCATCCCATTCATTGCCCTTTGAATTAATGGTTGCTCATGTTAAGGCTCTTACATTTAAAGGAGGGGCGGGTGTTCGTGTGTTTATCTCGGTTTTGTGTGCGGTGGGAAGGGCGTTAAACTACGCTTGATTCTCTTCCTAACAGGGAAGAGAGCTCTGGTTTCTCCAGAGCAAAGGTGCTCATGTTCTCCATCTCCCGTGACATCAGAATGATCATATCCTTGATCCCTGGAGGCCTTGGTGCCTGCTGTGTGCCCCTCGCTGCCTATCTTGGGTATTTATTTGGCCCCCATCACTGCAGTATCATAGCAGTTCAGATGTATATCCTCACGACACCCTGTGTGATAGGGCATTGCTATTATCTCCATTGTACAGATGGGGAATTGAGGCACAGAGAGGCTAAGTGACTTGCCCAAGGGCACACAGGAAATCTGTGGCAGAGGAAGGAATTGAACCTGGGTTTCTCAGGTCCTAGTCTAGCGCTGTAACCACTGGACCATCCTTCCACTCTGTCTTGATCCCTTGATGCCCCTCCAGAACCCTTGGTGTTGTTTTGATTAAAACCAAATGCTGTATTAAAAATACCACTTTTTAAAGTTGATTGGCCATACAGAGGCGTTCAGTGCCTCTAAATCGGACAGCATCTTGTTTTTTTGTTTTTGTTTTTTTTTTAAAAGGCACTATGGTAGCATCAGCTTGACAGCCCGTTACTGTTGGAAATGTTCTAAATTACACATTCCCCAAGCTCCCACAATTCCCCAAGAGGAGTGTTGATATCCCACAATGCCCTGCAGCGAAGTCGGTGGTGTAGGGGACGCCGGGCTGCCTACGCACGGTGCAGTGCACCTCTTGCTGATACTGTCTCTTCCAGGGAGGAGGCGTGGGACCAGCAAAGGCCAATAATGTTGGTAGCAATATGCCTGCAAAAATGCTGCTGGTAAAACTACCTAGTGTAGACTTGGCCCTGGTGTTGGCATTAGGTGGCGTAACAATGCGAGTGGGGAGGGTGGGTCTCCTGAGGTCTCAGACCTGTCCCTTGTTGGTTGGTTGCTTTTTCCCCAGTACGCTGTTGCAAAGGGAATTAAATCCACTTGGCGTGTGGCACTTCGAGCCGGGAGCTTCCCAAGTGCAGACTCAAGAACTGCAGTGCTACTGGGCCATGCAGCGTGGTGTGCGTCCCGTAGAGTTAATAATTCACACACAGCCCAGAATTCTGTCTCAAGATGGGCAAGTCGTCTAAGTGGCAAAGCTAGGGAGAGAAGGGTGATTTTTTTGACATCCTTTGGAGTCTTGATCTCCATATTTGGAAATGTTTACCCATCGCACTGGTCTATTGGAAGGGGAGGGGAGGTGACTCAGGGTTTGGTGGAAGCAGGGTTTGAATTCCTGGAGTAAGTTTTTTTTTTTCCTTTCTCTTTTCCCCTTGTTTTGGAAGCCAGTTGTCGTCAGTTTTCAGCTCTCTAGCTCCTGGATCTCCTTCCTAATGCCATCTGCTTTAGGGGGGAGCGTCTTAGTGAAGGAGATCATCTGAATTCCAGTAAGTACGTGGTTATTGCAGAAGCAAGGGACTTGGTTTTTTGTTTAGTCAGATGGATTGGTTGGGGGAGGAGGTGAAGCGTGTTATGACCTGTAACCTGGTCTGTTGAGCAGGAGTCAAAGAGAAAGAGACCTCCCGCAGCAATGAGATTTACCTGGTGGATCCATCTCAAATTCAAACCCCAGGCTCTGTCATTCCCTGAGGGCCTAATGTTTGGCTGTAGCTGAAAAGATCCTTTAAGCAGGCTCCAACTCCGTCCTTTGGTTCCACAGGTTAATGCAGCAGGACAGTAGAGTATTGCAGAGTGAAATAAGTATACCCCTAGAGTAGCATTCGGCAGGTAAAACACAGCTTATGTGCAATTTTGGTCTCATAAGCAACTGCGTGTATTAATGGGGCTATATAACCTGCAGGTATATTTGCTGCAAAAGTTAATATTTAACTACATTTATTGTGCAGCAGGAAGAAGTTTAAGCATTTTAACAGGCTGAGGTTTTTTCTTCCCAAGTTTTCAGTGTATAGTTTTTCCTGTTCTTTTGTGTTTTCCTCTTTAGTGTGAGTATATAATCTGTCCGATATTACAACTATCTGATTTTCCCCCAGCCCTCCCTTTCCTGAAAGGAAACTACAGTTCATCAAGAAAGGCAGCTCTAAAAAGACCTGGAGCATTTTGTTTCCTGTTTTAGTTGTGGCAACTAAAGCCATGCCCAGGAATTTGGAATTTGTCCCTCTATTCTTATTGCCTTTTGGATTCATTATTCTGTAGCATGTGCAGGGTAATTTCTTTCCCCCCAGAGACGAGGGGGAGAGCTTTTAACGTTGATTCTGAGTGGATTGAACACTGTATTTCTAATGGAGAGAAGTGTCCTAAATCTTTGAGTTTGAGAGGGGCAAGAATGGGGAGGGATTTAAATCACTGGTCGTGATCACGGATATCTATATCTTCTTTCCAGCCAGTAAATTTTAGACCGATTGAGTCTGTTTTCTTCATACTTTACCTATTTTAAAGCGTAGAGCAAGAACGAAGGTTTTTTTTTAAAAAGGAGTACTTGTGGCACCTTAGAGACGAACAAATTTATTTGAGCATAAGCTTCATCGGAAGTGAGCTTTAGCTCACAAAAGCTTATGCTCAAATAAATTTGTTTGTCTCTAAGGTGCCACAAGTCCTCCTTTTCTTTTTGCGAATACAGACTAACATGGCTGCTACTCTGAAACCGTTTTTTTAAAAATTATCCTTTTTTTTTTTTTTTTTTTTAATTACGGGAAGGATTTGCATTGGTGCTCACTCAGCTGGGCAACTGACTTGATCATTGTTGGCATCAAATGGGCATCTACTTTAAGGTATGAATCAAAGGGCAGTCAGCCTCTGAATGATCAGGGTAAGTAGGCCAAAGGACTTGCTGCACACAGTCTTGTAGACACTGACTGTGTTTGAAGTTTGCAAATCTCAGTTGCATTTAAACCTTCGTTGCTTTTCAACGTATCATTTATATTACTGCAGCTCTTTAAGGCCTTAACTGAAATGAGTGCTGTGCTGAAATGTGCCATTGTGCTGTGCAATATATCAATGGCTTTCAGCTTGTGGTCTGTGGATCCTGGGAGTCTGCAGACTAAGATTTCCAAAAGGGTCCGCACCTCCATTTGAAATTTTGTAGGAGTCCACAAATAAAAAAAGGTTGAAAACCACTGCACTATAGCAGTACATAGTAAGGGCTAGTCATGGTCCCAAAGAGTGTACAGCTTCTGAATCCCAGTCCAATACCTTAATCAAAAGACCACCTTTCCTTTTCTGTACATGTTTATATAAACATGCTTTCCACCAGTGGGACTGAATGCTTTCAGTGTCATTGGTGTGCTGTGCTTTTTTGGGTGTTTGACTCCTGAGCCTTGTAGGTTTCTGCGAAGTGTGAGTGTCATTTCACTGCCAAACACGTCTGTCATTCAGTCATTCTTCTGGTTGGAAGAGGAAAGATTCCTCCAGCCAAGCACGCAAGTGCCTGCATCACTCATCAGGGAAAACCAAGCTCAGGTCCCCACTTAGGGTTGCGCTTGGAAATATGTAGTGACCCCATGCAAGAGTGGGCCCAAAATTCTCCAACCAGTGGATGCTGAGGTTGGTGCTTTTGAGGGGAAAAAAAAAAAAGATTTGTGCCAGGGCAAGGATTGTGACACATTGTTCATCTGATTCCCCCCCCACCCCCCACTCACTGCATGTTGGAAGAGAAAATGAGGAAGTCAGTGAGGCTTCGCTAGGCGTACTAAACCTGGGCCCCAAGACAATACCAGAGAGAGAGGAAAAAGGCATTTCATCAGGAGAGGCACGTATTTAGGGTCTCTCGCCAGCTGTATGAGCACAAAGATGGTGTGAAGTTTTATATGCCGCTCCATCTCATCTCAGCACCAGGAGGGCGCGTGCTGGGCGGGCATGAGGGTTAACTGGTCCATGGAGGCTGATCTCCTCTCTCACTTCACTCTGGACTGAGACCCGTTGAGCAAGGCAGTACGGGGGAGCAGCTGATGCTGCTACTGTCCATGCTATCCCGGGGGGTGGATAACCCGAGGACTGCAGCCTCCCAGAGCAGTCCGTCCAGCCCACCTTTCAAGACACCAGGCAAACCCTGTAATCACTGATGGTAATCAGACTCTATGATGGATGCCTCGTCAAGGATTGGCATGAGCTCCGTGGATGGAGCCATTAAGGAAAGCCCTGTGAATTAGGACAACTGTCACAGGATATTCCTATTGAGGCCCAGCAATCCAGAGTGTGCGCCTTATTAATGACTCTGCACTCTGGGCTTGCACGTCAGCGTGCTTACAGAGCTCCTTATAGAGCTTTAAATGCGTTTCTGAAGCATTTCTGGGCGGGCTCAGCAGGTTTCAATGATGTATTGAGTGCTGAGGACTTGCTTTGTCTTCCGTGGGGTGGGAGGAATGGGCTTGTACGCTGTGCTTCATCTCTATGCTGCAGCCTGGTGGAGTGATAACAGAACAGCCTCCAGGCTCGCCCAGTGCAGGACTTTGCTGCATTCAAAGCGTTCTGTTATTGCAGCACAGTAACAACTCACATGCTACAGGAGGAATAAAAATGCCCTGATCTATGCTACCTTGGGAACCTTTCAAACTTTCCTTGTGGAGGTTAGGGGAAAACACCCAGGTACCAAGGCGATGGTGCATTGCGATATGAAAGGGATTGAGAATCTATCAATCTGCCTAGGCTGGGTGGTGGGATTATGGTATTTGTAATGTGTATTTGTGTATGTTTCTTTGCACCTCTGTAACTGAAGATTTCAGAATCCTTAACAAATATTGAGTCAAGCCGGTGAGCCAGGACAGAGATTCTTATCCTCGATGTACAGGTATAGAGACTGAGGCACCTGGTGTTTGTGACATAGCCAAGGCACCATGGGAAATTTAGAAATAAAACACAGATGTCCTGATTCCCACAAGCCAATCCTCTCCCTTATGTTAAGCTCCTTCTGATCCAGATAGCTGGAGTTTTGCAACCTTAGGCTGAAAAGTGCTATTACTTATAAAGTATTCTTTTTTTTACTGGTAAAATTATACTCCCACTGAAAATTAGTGCAACGATTACTCAAAGGCAAACTGAAATCTGTGAGTATTTAATACCACTGACGCCTGTTGTCAGTATATGATGTGGTCCCAACAACATATTGTTATGGCAGGAATGCTACTCTGAAACCAGGTAGTGATGTTACTTAATCTTAGAAGTTTTTTTTCCCTTAGCCTGTGAGCAGTGTACAGTCTTTGAAGAAATGCTGTATTGTTGTTAGCTTTGTGATCTGGTTCTTTTGTGGGATATGTTGCAAGCAGCTGGAGAGTTGACGGTCTGCCTTAATCTGTCTAATAGAGTCAATTCTTGGGGCAGAATTGCTTTCCTGAGAACCAGGTATTGGTGTTTGGGATGAGATTTCTGAAACAGCTTGTGTGCTATTTCTGACCACCTCTATTCAAGGACTGGTTTATCTGGTGTAAATAAAGAAATTACACTAAGCATATACCCAGACTGTGCATCACCAATTCCTCCTCCAGTAGGAACCTGACCTGCAAAGTCCCCAAATCTGCTACTGCTTGGTAGAGGGGGCACAATATTGAGACTCATCAGTCTTTAAAGAGTTTTCTAACATCCAGCTGGCTCCCTGTGCTAGGAAGGAAGCTGGTTCTTGCTCTGTGCTGGTTGTGCATTGTGAAGCTCCTACTCTGTAGATATCGCAGAGACCAGTTCCAGCAGAGCTGTCCATTGTGGCAGCTGCTTCCCTTCCTTATAGTTTTTGTTTTTCAGATAAATCTCTCTTCATCAGTGTAGGCAATTTTTTCTAAAAAAAGAATTGTTATAACCTGTTGAAATTAAAACCAAAAAGATGCGGGGAGCGGGGCGGTAACTGGATGTTAAGAAATAGAAAACAGTCAATTAAATTGTACATTGTGTGTAATTTTCCCTTGGCAAATTGCCATGAAATTGAAGAGCATTTTAACAACTGGTCATTTCACTTGCATTTGAACTTTGCCAATGGGTTGTTTGCATGGGAACTTCAGTCATTTCACAGTGGGGCCTCGTCTTTGGTACCACTTCATTTGCCTTTTTTTTAAAAAAACAAACAAAAAACCAAAACCCTCTTATTACCCGCAAGAGCTTGTAGTAGTGGGATCATCTTTAGTAAAAGGTGATTTCAAGGGAGGGTGCGCCAGCTAAAATGGAAGGAATCGTCTGTTGTTCTGGAGGTGAAGCTTTCCATCAACAGTCACGAAATATGTACAAATGTGATACTTTCTATCTGGGAGGGATTTACAAATAACACAGACTTGCCATACCCCTAAAAGACAGGAAAGTAATTATCAGCCCCAGTGTACCAATTAGCATTGCAGATACAGTGGTTAAGTGACATGTCTGAGGTCACACAATGAGTCTGTGTCAGAGCCAGGAATAGACTTTAGATATCTTGACTCCTGATGCTGAAGTTGAGCCACAAAATGACTGCGTA